GTTGCTGGCTGAGGCCAAACTACAACACTTAGTTACAAGAATTTGTGATCTAACTCATCCCCATCCATCAGGGGAATAGGTAAAACAAATACATCTCATGTTTCATCATTAAGAATGCTGTTAAATTCTCACCTCTGCTCTCATGCTGGTGGCTAAAATCATTCATTTAGATTGAAATGTTTTTGGAGATGTTCCTGCAATCTATAAATGACATTTAAAAATCCTAACCTGAGAGTCAAAGCTGGAGTTTGGTATTGTAAACTTTTCTGGGGTTAATGCCCTGGTAGCAGCTGAGGCTGACATTTTAGCTTGTATTGGATTTTATTTATAGTTTGGAAGTCAGGGTAATGTTCTGGTCCTTTCAGGCAATGACTTGTTTTGGAGTAATCCAGGAAATGGCAATTTGTAGTTAAACTTTGGTTGAAAACATCAGTGTTTAGAATCTTAACCAGTCCTTCTTCCCCACCATTTCCTTCCTTATGTGCTGGATCAGTCTGTCGTCTTTTTTGTTCCACCCTTTTTAGCTAGATGGGATTCTGAGCTACATGATGTTGCTCTTGGGCAAAATGTTGGATTATATGAGCGAACGCAAATTTTCTTTCCTTTGTTCTCTTCTTTTTTTCCCCTATAGGCTTTTTTCCTCATGTTTTTTAAAAAGCCCAATATGGATAACTAAACAACCTAGCAACACAAGAGATTAATTAAAAGGGGTAAGAAACAGTCTAGTTTCTAGAAACAGAAAAGTATCTAGTGTCTAGAAACAGAAAATAAAAAAATGCTTTTGTCAAAACTGTCAAGGAATTTTGAGAGTTATGTTACTGATACACAGTCAGTTATATAGCATCTCTCACAGGATGCCATCCTTTGCATTCTTCGTAGCATTCTTCCAAGCATTTCTGTCAAACTTTTGTCAGTTTAACTTCTGTTAGTTCTTGTCTTAGCCTGAACCTTATCTGCGTTCTTTTCTTGTTACTGTAATCTCATGTTTGATATTTCAGTTATCCGAGATAAATATTTTTATTTCTTACAAGACTTCAGAGGTTTGTAGAGTCAATTTAATACTGAATCTTTAAGAGAAATGTTTTGAATCAAGATGGCTAATTTAAACCTTCAGTGTTTCTTTTTTTCCCTTCTAGCCATGATAGAACAATGCAAGATATTGTTTACAAACTCGTGCCAGGCCTCCAAGAAGGTAAGTTTTCTGGTATGACCTATGTTTACTGAATATTAGATTTATACGTAATTCCTTTACATTAATAAAAGGAGGAAGTGAGGAAAATGTTCGTGGGGGGATGAAAAATACCATCTTCACTTGTACTGGTTCTAGCACTACTTTTCCTCTATACTTCAGTGCTTTTTTTAATTTTAGACTTGTACTAGCAGTGTTACTGAAAACACTTTAGAAATTAAAATGCTGGTGTTATTTCAGGGAAAAGTAACATTATGTAAACCTAAATAGCACTACAACTTTTTTGTGTTGACATTCTATAATTTGCATACATTCTTCTTTAATAAGCTGTGTACATATTCATGTCTTTTTTGACAGCTTTGAAGAGTTCTCAGAGGTAGAATACTAATGTAGCATAATATTACTTTCAGTGAATTTTTCTTCTCCTAAGATGTACTTAAATCCTTTGCTAGCAGGTACCTTTGCGCTTGTGTTCTCATAATCTACTTTGATAATGCATCTGTTGAACTAAAGGAATGCTTTATAGTAATTGTTCAGTATCATTTTTCAGTGGTATGTTGCTACTTTTATTTAAGTAGAATATTTCAATCCAATTAAGCTGTCAAGTGAGGACATTATTGGACATTTATAAGCAAGTTTAGGTAAAGAAATTATTTTAAAATTATTTCTAGGATATTGAAAACCAGAAATACAGATAAAAATTCAAACCCAATATTTTGATAGAAATATTGAAGGGGGAAACCCACAAAGTATGGCTTAGTATTTAAAATTTATTTTATATGTAATAACAGAATGGTGTAATAATAGCTCTGCAAATGACTTGATATGCAAACGACTCTCAAGAATAAGATCTGGGGTAACTCGATTATGGCAGCAAGAGTCGAGAAGTAGCAAAAAGTGCTAATACCACTTCCAGCCTGACAAGCTTCTTTTACAGAACAGAGGAGGGTTTTGGAATACCTTGATAAATATTGTGCTGGAACATTATTATATAACTAATATTTACAATTTTAAACAGCGGAAATGAAAAAGCAGAGAGAATTCTATCACAAACTGGGTATGGAAGTACCGGGGGACATCAAAGGGGAGATATGCTCTGCAAAGCAGCATCTAGATTCACATCACAATGGTAAATGGTCTTATGTTTATTCTGTCTTGGGGTGGGGGCACAGACTGCCATTAAGTTGCTAAAGGACCTGTCAGAGGTAGGTGTCTAGCTAATATTTATTAGCACTTATAATTGTTGTATAATATTGTATAAGGCTTGCTTGTGCTTATATATTGGACTATATACAAGAACTCATCACTTAAAACTCACCATCGAAGATGCAGTTTTGCATCACACTTGTTATAGAATGTGTTCTTTTAGCTGGCTGTAATGTGTTCCTGGTGAAGATCTTCAGTAGTACCTATGTAGGAACTCTATGATAAGAAAAGGTTACTTTTTATCCCAGTGCTGAATTTCATTAACTTCAGAAACTGCTGATGTTAAGTGTAATTTTGTGGTAGAAATGCTGTGGTGGTTACACTCAAAATGTATATATGTGTGTGTATTTATCCAAGGACAAAAGAATTCTCAAATTTGTGACTGTCAGGAGATCAGTTTTACAGAATAGTGAATGAGTCCTGACAAATTTGTAGCAAGGTGTCTTGAACTTATTTTCTGGGAAGCTTTGGATTAATGTCCACATCTCTGCTACCAAGAATAAAGCTGCTTTCTGACTTTTTTCCTGGTTAAAAGAGAAACTGATCATGCTCTGACAAGCCAAATTACTTAAAAAAAACAAACCCAAACAAAAAAAACCCACAGTTACTCTTATAGTCTTGACTTTGTTTCAGCATTACCTGTCATCTGATATGTCTAATTTAATTATTGTAATGCTCTGCTTTCTTCTGAAAGGTGAAACTAAACCAGATGAAAATTCAAACAAAGAAACTTCTGAAGAAAAACAGGAAGAAGATAATGACTATCATCGAAGTGATGAACAGGTGGGCTTACTTCTGATATAGGGCATTTCTTAGTTTTATCTTGTATTTCCCCTTTATCTTTAAATTATTATTTTTCTTTGATAAACTTTTTTCCCTCTGACAGAGAAAAGATACAGTGTTCTCCCATGCTTTTGTGTCAGCTTGAGCTTCATCCTTTTTTATTTAGGTAGCTGTGGAGAAATTTGGTTTTGAGAATTTCATTTAAGGTTTGATATAACTATTTCTGAGTTTCCTGAATATTGGCTAAACTCTGTGTTGGCTTTCATCTCAACTAGATTTCAAGTCAGTTGGGCCCTTTATCTGAGAGTCTACTCCCATGCCGCTCCGGTGCATCAGGACTGAATATGTTTCAATAATTAGAATGAAAAGTCTTTTTTTACTTAGTATTTAGCATCAAGTTTTAAACACAAAACCTGTTTGAGTATGAAACTTGCTATTGGAATACACTAGTCACTGCCTTCATGTTTCCCTGCTAAGTGTGTCCAAAGTAAATTAAATTTGGATTAATTTTCCATTTAATGATAGTGCAATGGTAGTATTCAGATGGATTGTGCTTTGTACCAGATAATTTAAGTGCACAGAATAAAACTTGTTCTAAAGAGCTCAGACTAAATAAAGAAAATAGATGATTGAGAAAAGAAGAGGAAATTGAAGCACAGAAATCAAAAGGCCTTTTTTTCCCATATAATCTTTTGAACTTCAAAAATTTGTTGCATCATCTGCTTCAGTAAATTTTGAAGTTAAAAATATTATTTTAAAACATGCCTTAAATATTAAACTATGCTACTGGATTCAGAGGTTAGATTAAAAACAGTAATTAAAAAGTTATAATGGTTTTGTCAGGAAGCAGCAAGGGCAGGCTGCTGCTCCAGAGGGGCAGGCAAGCCAGGAGCCAAGAGTGACAGCAAGGCAGACAGGGCACTGACCTCACCAACAAGGGGTGCAGTTCCACAATACCTGAATAAGGAGAGCATAGCAGCTCTGGTGACAGTGACCAGATCCAGCCACAGTCCAGTGATCACCAGGTAAATCTTTAGTGATGAGGCAGGCCCAAGGTTAAACCAGAACATAAAATCAGCAAGTTTAAGTCAGGTCCAGAGGCTACAGTAACCAAGGTCATACACAGTCCAGTGATCACCAAGCCAAGTCCATAGTGATGAGACAGGTCCAAGGTCAAGCCAGGAAGTCTAATTTGTGGGTCAGAGTCTAGGCCAGGCACAAGCATGGCTGCAACATAGCTCATGCAGGGGGACCAAACTAGGAAGGGAACTTCAGCTTAAATTATGCTGGTAAGTGGAGAAGAGTGAGCTCACACTGAAAATTCTTCAAGCTTTTTCTCAAACAGTTCTTTCTTCACAACAGTTTCATGGTCATACAGCTGCTTATCATAATTGGCCCTGAGCTCAGGCAACCACACCGGGGGGGGGGGGGGGGGGGAGGGGAGAACTCAGGGTCCTGACAGGTTTTCAAATTAGATGTCTGTCTTTGGCCTTGACCTGGGCTTCTTCTGAACTAGTTGTAACCTCTGCAGTTAGAAAAAAGCTCTGGAACAAGGCAGCCCTAAAGTTCTGCCTTGAACTTTTGTCCAAATCCCTCTTCAGTTGAATGGTGCTTAACAGTAAGCTGACAAAATACTAGACAACCTTTTTTTTAATGATACTGCATGCATTTTGCTGTAAAGAATACTGGTATTCTACATTTTCACCTTTTTGTTGGACTAATAAATGCTGCATGTGAAATTCATTATAGGGACTGCAGAAAATTCTGTCAACTAGCTCTGACTGTGTTTGCTTTTTCCTGAAGGTAAGCATCTGCTTGGAATGCAATAGCAGCAAATTACGTGGATTGAAACGGAAATGGATTCGCTGCTCAGCACAAGCAACAGTTTTGCATCTAAAGAAATTCATTGCCAAAAAACTTAACCTTTCTTCTTTTAATGAGGTAATGTTTTAATGTTTAAAAATTATTTTCCAAATGAAAATCTTATGGATTATTTTCAGAACAGTGTCTTTCCTTCCAACCAGACTTTTAAAAAAACTGAAGTACACACTATTTCCTAATATAAATGAACAGAAAATGGCTATTGAAGTTGAGGAGCTGAATGCAGACAAATAGGTTTGCCTCCAAATTTACCTCCCCCCCCTTTTAATTAAAGGATGCTGGTCATCTTCCTTTTTTTTCTCCCCCTCCAATACAATGGAGATGTAGCTTTTACTGGTTCTTGGCTTCATAAAGAGTTGGCAGTGCAGCTCAGTCTGTTGTTCCATGACCAGTTTTAAAACATACCAAAAGGCTTGCTTATGTGTTTTCCACCTGTGTTAAAACTGACTCCTGCAAGATGCTTTGTTTGGCAGCCTTAAATGAAGGGATACGCTGCCCTAGCAGAAATTTTTCACTCAATGCAGATAATGGATTATAACACTTGAACACTACTGAATGACTGATTAAATGGAAAGAAGCACATATACTTTCTTCTGCTTCTCTACTCTGAGTGAAACTCAGCCTTGTGTAGTATCAGCTGGTGCCACCGTCCCTGCAGGGAGTATATAATTGGACTGTTCATGGGAAGAAATCATGGTGGAGGGTAAGGGAAGAAGGAGGCTTTTCCATCCTCTGCAAGTTCTGTCATTTCAGATTCTAAAACTAGAAAACATAACAGCAGGCATGTGAAAATGCAGCCTCTGTTCCCTCTTTGTTGGTATTAGTCACAGTCCCCCTCCATTCAGTCTGATTCTCAAACTGCCATCTCTCAATCTTGAAAACTTCCAAGGATGGTGATGCCATGACCTCTTTGGGCAACTTGTTCTGGTGCTTAATTATCCCTGTATAGTGTTTTTTTGCTCCTTATACTCAGTCAGAACTTCCTGTTTCCATTGATGACCATTGTCTCTCATTCTCCCACCGTGCACATAAGTAAAGAGCCTAGCTCTATCTTAGAATCATAGAATTGTCCAGGTTGGAAGGGACTTTTAGGGTCATCAAGTTCAACCATCAACCTAACACTGCCAAAACCACCACTAAACCATGT